AGTCAAACGGCTCGGCGTCCAAACAGTTTCGAATCCGGTCAGTTCTCAATGCTCGGGCCAGAGAGACTCCACAAGCCACTCGGGGGCTCTGCCCTTCGTGTTCACAACCGTCCAGGGCACAAATTCTTCGGTCGACCTCACCCCTCGGGGCTGCAGGGTTAAGCCCGATCCCTCCTGACCTTGGGGAGCCGGCAGCGCGGAGCCCGGTCCCCCTTAGACGCGCTAGGGGCTCCCACTCCAAGATCAGACCGTCCTCCCATCCCCCCACCCTCCTAAATTTAGGACAGGGACGCTTTAGGGCCACCGTCTCTCTTCCGGGACTGACCAGACTTCATTGCACACAGAGAATGACGGGGAGGAGATGGGGTTGAGGGGGGACCCGGACCCCGGAGTCACTCCACCAGTACCCTCAGGGACCAGGGACCGAAGCGCTCGCACGTCCCGCTCCCCTTCTCCCTCTGACTAGGGCACCCAGATAAACACCCGCAGGGCCCACGCTCGCTCGGACTCCGCTTCGGGCGCCCCGTCGACTCCACCCTCCGAGAAAGAGGCGAGGGGCTGGAAAGGAAAGGGGGTCCCTCTGGTCTCACCTGGGGCGGAGGCGCTCGCTCATGGCAGCCGGTGGAGGGGAGCGACGCGGAGCCGCTCCGCGAGAAGAGGGAACAGAGGGTGTAGTGTTGCGGCGGCCGCCACGCCCACCCCCTCGGGCCTTGGCTCTGGCCGCGGCACGGGTGGACTCTGCCGGTGGTGAGTACCCCTCGGTGGGACCCGTACCACTGCTACTTCCGGCGTCTGCTCCGCGCCCCCCCATGTCGCAGCCGCCGTGGTACCGCCCTCTCGCGGCTGCGCAGTGACGCGTCCCGGCCGAGCCGACCGGTAGCCCCGCCCACGGGAAGAGGCGGGCTTGGAGGGGGAGGAGCTACTGGGAACCTCTGGGAGAAAAGGACCTCATTAGAGGTGGCCTGAGCTTTCGCCTGTTCACAGCCTCTCGGAGACAGTGTAAAAGTGAAGCCAGATTTAAATGAAATGAAATTATGTCATAACAACACGAGATAAGCAGTTGAGTTAAGGTCTCTGGGAGGTAACAATTTTTTAAAAAATAGTTGAGAAGCAACAGGCAGTCACGTAGACGGGACCGGGAGTTAGGGAGCCGCTCGTGGGACGCTTTCGGGGGGATTGTCGCGGGGGCTTCCTGGACTTTTCTGTGTTGGGAGGTGAGGACGCTGGTCTGGTGGAGTCTCCACGGCGGGGCTCTTTCCTACGACCCCGGCCCTAGGTGTGGGGGCGACTGTCCTGAGCCGAGAGGGGAGTCAGTGGGGTGACGGGACAGATGGGGGGCTACCCGGAGCCGCCGAATGAGCCCCCTTCGGCGTCCCGGCGGCTCCGGCGCCCCGGGCTGGGGCTGCCGGGAGGCCCGCCTCGGCCCCAGGAGCCTCCTAGCGGTCCCTGCCCGCTCTGGAAGCTGCAGGACAGCTTTCTGAAAAGTAAGGGGGCCGGGCGGGAGGAGGGCGGGCGAGATTAGGCGGCTGGGGAAGGACGGGTCGGCTGGAGAGCGCCCGAGGTGAGGGCGAGGAGGGGCGTAACCTTGAGATCCGCCCGGCGCCCGGGAGGCCGGCGAGGCCTTAACTCTCTGCGTCCCGGGGCACCGAAGGCGAACTGCCCTGATCGTAGCCCAGGCTATTTGTGTTCGGTTCCGTCCTGTCGACTGACTTATCCGTGTCTCTCACAGGGTGACATTTAAATCTAGTTTCATTCTGCCAAAGTCGGCAACGGCAATCCGGAACTATGGAGATCCGGGAGAACCAGCCACAAAGTTAGCGTCTCTGTACAGAAGCTCGGGTAAGAAAGCAGTCAGGCACCCACGATAAGACGTTACCATGTGAGGAAAGAGAGATTCTTCGAGTGATATTAAGTGAGAGGGTGGAGTACTGTAGAGGCAGACGATCTAACCGAGGCCTCAAAAAGTTATTAGCCTAAGGCCCAGGGACTGGCCTCACTTGTGTGTGTTTTTGTAAATAAATGGTCCATAACTTTAATTATATTGTCAAAGGGGTTATCTCCAAGGTAAGAATAATCACTATAAGTCTGTTGGCAGAAAAACAGCTCTGTTTGCCTTACTTCAGGTAGGATAAGGTGGGTTGGTTACCTTGATAATGGTATGGCCAAGATTATATCTATTTATTTTGTAAATGGTTTCGGAGTCTCACTTTTTGACCTATTTAATGGTCAGAAGGTAATCACACAGTGCATCATAATACTTGTGTGTTTATATGCAGGGAAAATTTTCATTGAGCAGGTATCACATTCAGGCTCAGTAGTGGTTTTGAGAATATAGCTGTGCACGGAATAGACATGTCCTTGCCCTCTGAACTTCTAATGTTTTCTACTTGTACCCAGTAAGTCGTCCATATATTTCACTTTAGAAACCACTATAATCAACCACTTTCAGATCCTGGCCTGAGTTTCTTATTCTTCATTATTTCCCTGAATGACGTGTTTAAGGGTTTTTAACAATTTTACACTCGTGTGATATCCAGTTGACTTGCTACAACCTTAAATAGCAAACCTTTCATTCTGACTGGTATTTGGACACCTGTTCCTTCCACTAACCATTCAATCATTAGATGGAAGCCTGTTTGTCTTGCTTACCTCCTAGTCAGGGGTGTGGATTTGCTTGTTTTTTTAATGATTGATTCCTAGGAAACTTCCTAATGTAAATACCAAGTATAAGTGGAGCCGGGGATACTTATCTAAAAATTGAACTGTCTTCTATTTCCTGCCTCTGTAAGAAAAATAGGTCAAAACAAACTGTTAAAAATTATCTTGAACCTAGGTTTTTCCAAATGAATATAAAAGTTATGAAACAAGTAAAATACTGGTATTTACAATACAAATTATGAATTTATGTTTACCTTTTTCAGGAACAGGAGAGTGAGATTCCACCAGAATGGAAGTGTGTCCTTATTGTAAGAAGCCATTTAAACGATTAAAGTCCCACCTGCCACATTGTAAGATGATAAAACCAACTATACCTGCCGATCAAAATGTTTGTCAGACCGAGCAGGCTACACTCCCATGTGCTAAGAAAATGAAAAGTCCGAGCAAAGGCATAAGTAAAGCTAAAGAGAGAGAGTTGGGGACAAAGAGTGAGAAAAGAAATAGTAAGTTGATAAAGGACAAACCAGAACAGACTGTTGAGCCCTTTCCATTACCAGCTATTGGTTTGGAAAGAGCAGGCAATACAAAGGCAGGTGAAGACATCAAGAACCAAATTCAACCCTCCCTCATGTTAAAAAATCCTGAACCAATCACTTTCAAAGAAGTGAAGGCTCAGTTTCATGCATCAAAGAACACTGTTCCTAAAAGGAAACTTGCCAAAGATTTGCCTCAGTCAGTGGCAGGTAGAAGTGATCCTTCAGAAACTACAGCGTCTTTACCTTTGGGCCTGATGGAACCTTCCTTGTCAAATCAAGATAGGACATACTCTTCAGCCTTACCTAATGATGTACAAACCACTTCTCCTAAGTTAAACTTGGACAAAACTGATCCCTCAAGACAGAAGCTTTTAGTAAAATTACTAGATATGCCTGTTGGTGATTATCATAGTTCTCCCCAAAATCTCAGTTGTGGAGATAAAAGAGTCAGAACGCTGTGTTCAAGTGATGCGAGAGCTTCCAAGGCCGGAGACCACCTCTCAGAAATCTGTGCTGACGTTAAAGCCTCTGAGAATGGGGAAAAGCACATGGAATCACAAATTTTAGGTTTTAAAGTCAGCCCCTTAGGTAAAATCCAAGTTGAGGGGAACCCGGGAACAGGACTTGGCCTTGGAGTAGAGGCACGTGGGAGCAAAGGACATGTGGAGGAGAGTATGTATGTGACAGGAAAGCAGGAGTGCCCTTCCAGGAGCGACGACTCAACAGATGAGCCAGCCACAGAGAAGAAATCTCGAGGTGACGGTCCCAATTTAAATTTCTTCACATCAAGGGATACCACTTGCAAGGAGTTTGTTTCTGCATCACAGTCACGTAATCAAAGTCTTTCCTCTCTGGCTATAAAATTTCTACAAGAGGAGAAAGCAGAAGCCTGCAATCCTCATCAAGTCCCTGAAGGAAAGGCATTGATGGAGTGTGAGGAGCAAGCCTCTCTGGAGCCCAAGTCTGGCTATGGGCCACAGGCCTCACACCCGGAGTGCCAGTGGTCTTTACATTCAACCCAGCATTATGCTTCTAAAAGCCTCTTCACTGCCCAGATGGATGTTGCCGACAGGAAGACCCTCCCTAGCTCCCTGGGGCTGGAGTGGTTTCCAGAGCTCTATCCTGGTTATCTTGGACTAGGGGTGTTGCCAGGGAAGCCTCAGTATTGGAATTTAATGGTCCACAAGCCTCAGCTCATCAGTCCCCAGGGGGAAAGACTATCACAAGGTAAACACACTCATTTTTAAGGGCCATCCAGCTCATACAGACTAATCTGTGCCTTTTGAATTAAGATTCAGAATACTAATATTTTCACTCCTTTAGCCTATTTTTACGTGGGCATTTAAGTACGCTGGACTTAGAGTTGTTCTGAAAACACTGCGTCTTGCTCCAAAGGTAGCAGTGGTTTATCTCTCTCCCTTCCCCTCCACCAACGGTTGAAGGTTGGACTAGGCCAGGCTGGCTGGTGATGTTGATAACAGTTGAATTTCTACACCGGGAAGAGGCATGGCCAGTAGAAGAAATTGGGCGGGTGTTCAAACTGAACAGACTCAAGCAAAGCAAAGACGTCAGGGTCCACCTAAGTAGAACAAGCACTGTGTTCAGATTTCGTCAGGACCAGGTTGTACACAAAATAGGCTCCAGGTTTATGGTCAAATGCAACATCTGGGAATTTAGAATAGCAAAGAGGCTACAAGTGGGCACTGTTTTTGGATTTGGAGGCAGGATGGGATTAAAGCCATCCAGGGAGGCAGGCCAGTTCAGGCAGATAAGGGGAAGTGGAGGTTTGGGACGTGCGGACCAGGAATAGAGGGTGTAGCGAGGAAGGCGTAGAAGTCGATGCACTAGAAAAATTAGTCCACAGAGGGTAGGACCCAAGGATGGAACCAGAGACTGAACCTTGAGACATGAGCGATTACAGGGGGGCATCAAAACTGATCTGGATTGTGAGTCGGTCTCTTCAGCGGTTTTCTAGATGCTCCTTGCTGATGCCTAGAAGAGCTTAACTGGTGGGTAGGACTTGGGCCCAAGTAGGAGCCAAGAAGTTCCTGACAGTCATTTCAGGTGTCCTTGTTTTTTTCTGATTCTTATCTTTAGGTGTTGGACTATCTCTGTGTTAATATACATAAAGTTTCTTCATTTTCCTCATCAGGAGGCTTTGGGTTTTTTTTCCCCTTTTATAGGTCTTCTAGGGGCAGAGTTAAATGTAGCATCCATCTCTTTTGTGTGTGTAGTAGTTTTGGTCCTTTAGGTTTGACAGGAGACCCATAGCAACTCAGAATAGGTTCAGGCCTGAAGATGCCAGAGAAGTACAGACTTTGTACCAAAACCAGTCACTGCTGAGGCAGTTGAAGAAAATGGAGCTTTAGCTAACAACACTACCTAATACACTTCCATTTTGAAATCTTTAGAAAGGAATAATTTAAAATACAGAAGAAAATGTTTTTGACACCAGACAAATTGGCATTTAGTGAATACGTGGTCATTTATACAGTATACCAGAGAGGAAAATATATCCCTTTAGGAAGAGGTGATCTTCAGTTGCGTAAACACACAGCCCATAGCAAATCTCTCTAGCACGTAGCAGGACTTCTCTGTTTTCTGTACTACATATATATGTTTTTATTGATTTCAGAGAGAGGAAGAGAGAGGGAGAGAGAGATAGAAATATCAATAATGAGTCATTAACTGGCTGCCTCCTGCACGCCCCCTATTGGGGTTCAAGCCTGCAACCCCGGCATGTGCCCTGACCAGGAATTGAACCGCGATCTCCTGGATCCTAGGTCGATGCTCAACCTCTGAGCTATGCCAGACGGGCTTCTCTACTGCCTTTAATGGCACTAAAGAGTGCCCTTGATACATCCCCTTTTCATTTTAGAAGGCAAAGGGAGGGAACTGGTGTTTGTCAAGTGAGGACTGTTTCAGTCGTGCTAGGTTAGGTACATTCCATTGTTATCTCATCTAACCCTCAGAACAACTCTGCAGTGATGTCGCTGACCCGCTCTCTTTCATAGGTGAGGAGTCTGAGCCTCAGACATCTTAAGTGACTTGCCCATGTTCACACACTAAGTGGCAGTCAGGGTTCAAATCCAGGTTCATCTGACTTGTACATCTGTGGTCTTTACACAGCCTCAGGCTACTTTTCCAGGCACTTAGTGGTTGATACCGTGGTTGAGATAAGTTATTAGTGGACGCACTCAATTGAATGGGTCCCAAGAATACAGTAATAGTAAGTTAGGAGATGCATTAACATGTCATCCAGTCACCAGGCTTGTGAAATTGAATATGGGGGAGAAATACAATCTTTCCTTCAGCATTAAGTTCCTCCAAGATTGTGGTTAGAAACTGTTTTGTTCTCTTACTGATTCCAGTCTGTAATAAGTGATTAGTTTTGTTTCTGTCAGACTGTGTGGCCATTCCAGGGCCTCTGGTTCTGTTATAAACGAAAAACTATAGAATTTAGGGCCACAACTAATGTTCAGACTTTGATGCTGCCACTGAATGAGACCCTAGGATCTCAGGTCAAGACCTGGTTCCTCAGCTGGCCAAGGACTTCAGCAAGGCCACCTAAATCTACAAGGATTCAATGGCAGTGTGGCTCCTTAGCTCTGTCATTTTCCCAGGCAATGGCTACCTCCGTGACTGCAAATTAAAGTTGAATTTTCATGGAGGCTATGCAGAAGAGCATGGCCTATGTTCCCTGCTCAGGTAGGACCTTTGGGAGACCATTCGGCCTCCTTTATCGCAGGAAGCCAGTTCATGTCTTTAGAACAGGCAGGGCCCGTGAGCTAACAGTGACTGAGTTGACTCTATGTCAGCTGTGCTGCCTGCATGTCTACCACTCCTGGGAGACTATTCTTAGCCCCGTTTATAGACGAGGAAACTGAGTTCCAAAGAGGACATAACTTGCCCAGCATCAAGTTTCAGTTGACGGTTGGCATCTGACATCACCTGATGGTTGGTCTTTGCCAAGTTTTTCCAGGCAATGTCTCTTCTGTTGGACATTGGGCTTCGAGATGGTGTCAGATACGCTTTCCTACCTGGGGAAACCTGTAACAGCAGCTAGTCCTCGCACACAGGATATCTGAGTGAACCTAGTTAAGGCGATTCTACCAGGGAAAAGGTACCCAGGGTCTTGAGAGGCATAACAGACTCTCTGGTCACTTTGATGAAACACAGTGGACCCAAAAGCTCTCATGACTGATGGAAAATGGTATATTTTGGTGGCCAAGGCTAAAAGGTCCCAAGGCAGACTCGTAGTACTGAGGGTGCCACAGAGTTTTAGTAAGTCAGGAATAAGAATTTGGCTTATGAATTCAGTGGCATCAGGAGCCATCTTTTGAGGTTCAGGAAGGATTTCATGGGCTTACTATGAAAATTAGTAGTTTTCTGGCCTTGAAGAAAATAGATTTTGTAAGTTCAAGATTTAACTCTGAAGAGACTCAAGTGCAAGTGCCTGAGAGTCCTCAGCAAGAGGAACTGGTTCCCATTGTCCAAAGGAAAGCTTTCAGAGTCCCTGTGGCCTTGAGAAAGTTCAGCTGGGTGCACTTGGCTGGGCCTTTGCAGGATTCACAGTGCTTAAAGATCCCGGGCATCATCCCAGAGACTGGTTCTGAAGTCAAGGTCTAGAAATCATGTTTTCAGACATTTCCTTTGTGTTGAAGGACAGCCAATTTAGAGAACTGCTGATGTAGGAAATGGCACGAGAGCAGGCGCCTCAGGCCCAGCAGGAGAATAGTCTCGAACAGTTGATGGGGGAAAGGGAGGGTGGTTTGAAAAAAGCATAGTTCATATAACTACCAAAAGCAAAACGTGGCTGATGGGGGTACCAGAAGGTCAAGTGAGGAAACCTGATAGGGCCATGGGTTTTAAAAGGCCAAGTAACAGTTAAACAGAGGTTCTTTTTAAATCTTCAAACAGCATCTCCATCAGTCAGGTATCCGTGTGAGATGTCTGAGATGGGGCACGTGAGGAAGGGCTCAGAAGAGTCAGGATCAGAATTTGAGCAGGGATATGACAGGCCAGGATTAGGGCCCTTATTAGCCAGAGGAGTCCATGGAAGGGGTTGTTTTTAGGTAAAGGAGCATCTGAGCAGTCAACAGCCAGAGACTTAAGGGGCAAGTCAAATCATAGGTCTGGGATTCCAGAGGGGTGACGGGAAATGTTAGAGGTCTAGAGGGTGGCTAAGGGTTTTCAGGGGTTGTATTAGAGAGAGGGGCGAGTGTCACTGGAGGGTTAACCATACGCATTGGGTTTAAATGTAAGGACATGGACACTGGCAGGTAAAAGACAGTGTCTGGGAGATGAGGTGGCAGAGGCATAGCAGTGGATCGTGGCAGCCCCAAGCCCAAGGGGATGGAAATCAGAACCCACAGTAGCTGGGCAGCAAGACGACATTAGGGAAAAAAAACAGGACTGTGGGTTGTGAGCTGATCTCTACTGGGCTTCTGTATCCCAGCTCAGAGCCTGAACTGATGTCATGCACGTAAGATTGACAACCTGTAAGAAAGTCAGTAGGCTCAGCTAGTTGGACAAAGAACAGAGTTGAGCCACCCAGTTCCTGACCCTGCTGAGAAAGTTGTACAATTGCAATTTCATGAAGTTGCTTCACCCCATCTGTTCATATTTTTTCCAAGATGAATGGGTGATGCCATGCTTTTTTTTTTAAGACCCTAATCTTCACCTTACAAGAGAATTATCTTCTGTGTAATTTCTTGGACGCCAGCATGGTTCTTTTCATCATTACTTACTATAAATTCACGACCATTTGGATAGTATTTTTACATCCACATCAACTCTTACCACACCTGCTAAATCTGTCATAAATATTTGCTTAATTTACCCTTTATCCTGATGAACCAAGCCAAGACCAGAGAACCAGAGATAGAAGAGAGTCCCTGCCTGTGATTAAACAGAAAAACAGGTACAGGGAAAATGTTAATACATAGCATGAATCCTCCTTTCTGGTTCTCCTTTAGTTATGTACGTATTGAACATAAGTAAGGAATGTTTGTTGGTCAGCAGAGGTGACGGTGCCCTAGAACAAACTTGTTGACTGCAGACATAATGACAGGGAGCTGTAGTTAACTTGTAGAAAGTCCTGCTCTTTGCTAAGATGTTTTAGCAGATGATAGAAAATAAGAGTGATTCATTTCCTTTGGCATGTACACACAGACCATCTGAGCAGAATATTCGTCAGATCAAAGGTATGTCCAGGTGCCGATCCCCAGGGCTCCTCAGCCTTTGCAGAGCCTCTTTACCTCAATGGGCTCCTCAGACTCAGAGCACTTAGCACAGCTGCAGCCCTGTGCACCCCTTTAGAATGTGCTTCTCCGGAGGCCTGGCCCCGGGAACCTTGGGTACTGAGAGTTGGGAAGGAGGAAGGATTCAGATGGACTATCACTGTGACTTCTGTTTGGAACTGCAGTTCCTTTGTTAGGAAGAAGTTCGGCTGCTCTGTGGAGTGGGGAACCCCCGGCCAGGCTTATAACCTCCAGCGACTCTCTCCGGAGGCTCCTGGGAGCTGTACAGAAAGGTGAGGCCAGAGTCATCGCTTGTTGGGTTCTGTTGCTGGTTCCAAGCATGGGGAGATTGTTCTCTTTAGCCGTGACTGTTAGAGCACAGCTAAAGAAAAGAGATGAATGTGTAGTCTTCCTGTTCCTGTTAGGTTGAGTCTGACATCATTGAAAGCACCAGAGTTAATAAAATAGTCCCAAAGCCAGGAGGTTAACCAATCAGTCATATTAGTCTCGCCACTGAAGATTTTAACCAAACTCCCAAAAGCAAAAGTAATTTAAATTTCTTAAAACTAAAGTCCTCTAGACTTCAGCCTTTTCATCTGTTTATATATATATATATATATATATATATATACACACATAGTAGTATGTGCATTCTTTGAATACAGTTCCATCGCCTGTGCTAACTGGGATAACTCACAAGTAAACCTGTCACAGTTCACGGCAGCATTGTCTCTTTTTAAACAGGCTGGATCAGGTGCAGCACCACCATGAAGAGTGGAGTTGGTGGCGTCACGATGCTCTTTACAGGATACTTCATTCTTTGTTGTAGCTGGAGTTTCAAGCATATGAGTAAGCCTTTCTATATTTTTAGCCTCAGTTGCAGGTCACATCCCATTGCAGGGACCTCCAAGGGATTCTCTGGACTGCCTTTTATAGCGTTACAGTTTGGCACTATCTGACATTCGCAGTGAATGAGCTAGTGCCCCAGACACTGGGATTCCTCTTATTAAGAGGTTTTGGTTATAGTGGCCTTTGTAAGACTTGACTAGATTTACATAATTGCTCTTGTGCTCCATTTAAGGTTGTCACTAGAGATATGTTTGCCTCCTAGAAGATCAGGGCTCTTCTCCTTGGGGACTTTTTAATTCCTACCTAAGGACTTCTTTTTAGGGTTGAAACCAGCTCTCTGCCCCAAAAGAGAGGAGGGGAAACAGAATAGAGCTGTCACTCATAAGCTTATAGCTGTTGTAGCTAATCGACTTTTAACATTTAAAAAACAAACACCTTCTAGTTAGGAGCTTCCGCTTGGGCCAACTCTTACCAGGAGGAAAATGCCTGCTTCTTTTTCTCTTTGAGTTCAAGATGACTTTTGCTTTTTTTTTAATGTATTGTTTTATAAAAATATATTCTTATAGTTAAAAGTTTAAAAAGGCATATAGAAAGATATTAAAAGAGTCCAGTATTTTCCCACAATTTTAAAAATAAGAGCCTCAACACTTTCAGATGAAAACTTTTGGTGTAAAAGTACAAGATACCATTAACACTAGGGCCAATAGAATTCAGAAACTTCTCAGTTTAACAGCATGATCTGTAGAGGAGACAGATAAAGAGTCTTGGATCCTTACATTTATCTCTGTTTATCCAAAGAGCTGCTGCGTCAGTGGAAGTAATGTGCCTGGACGCATGTAAGAACGCCCAGAAGAGGGTGCTGGAGACAACTGCAGGACACCCTTCACAAGTTCAAGTTGTACTGGGGGCAGGAAGGGGAGGGGAAAGAATAAATTATTGAATCTAAAGCACTTACTTAGGAAGTATGTTTTTTAATGGGGACAGATCTGGTTCTCTCTGGATATTTCTTTGGCTTGCTCTCAAGTGACTGAAAGTTACCGGGAAGAAATCAGCTTGTTTTATCATAAAGGCTGATGTTATTCAAGGAGACGTGACGATGACAGAGGTTATCGTTAGGATTTTTAGTGATTGTCCAATCCTCAGTAAAAACTAATATCTCAATTTTAAAGCTTCCTAAAATTCTCTGCACCTTGGCATGCTGTCATTCATCTAGGCTAGATGCTGAGCTACATATACACTGATAGAGTAATATCTGACTTGGTAGAAAGTCAGCCTCCATCGGCCCTTCCCCTCAGGAATGGTTTGGCCCTTTTGGGGCCCCAGTCAGATCTTGGCAGGTGTGAGAGACTTAAAAGCGAAGGAAGGGGGCGGAAACAGAGTTGCTGGTGAGCCTGTGAAAAGTCCTTAACAGGTATTTTTTAAGGTGATGCAAATAGCACCCTAAACAGGATGCTGAGTCACCTCTTGGACATCTTAAGTGGCTACAGCAGTGATGTCCATTTGTCCTCTCTTCCTGGAAAGGTCTGAGTCCCACCCTATCCCTGTTCAAGAATCTCAGTGAGATACTTACATCCCTTTGCTTTGTTAGGGGCTGGTGGGTTTCCTGCGACTCTTCCCCCATCGGAATATCCAGTGTGTTTCTGATTTTATGACCTCTGCTTTGGCCCCTGGAGAGTAACTTGGATACTTACAGATAGAAAAGTCTATAAATGTCCAAAACAGGTGGATAACTTTCTTCGACCCCTTTTCTAGCACAGGGGGGTGATTATATACCACATACAGATGTGCCTATAGCTAAAGATTTTTAAAGAAAAAACAGTCCTCTTCTGATTATTTGCCTCTTCTAGACCCTCACGTGCGTCCTTGGGTAAGTTACCTCCCTTCTCGGAGCCTCCTTGGTCTGGGTGTGAAGCCCTACTTTACAGAGATTTGATGAGATTAGAAGTCTGGCACCTGTTAAGGCCTGACGGGTCAAAATACAGCTCTTCGAAAATCTCTGCTGGTGTCATATGTTCAGATTCTGAACTTGAACCAAGCAAGAGAGACCCCACCGCAGCCCACACACGTGCAGCCAAGTGCTGTGCAGAGCTCCTTACGTACTCGCGCTCCTTTTTACACACACACACACACATACACACACCCCACCCCATCCCCCCGCCCCGGCAGGAAACAGACTTGGGGAGGGTAAGCAGCATGTCCGCACAGCTGTGGTATTTGTCGAATAGCAGCCCCAGGTGGAGCTGGTATTTAGACCCCCAGACCTGTCTCCGGGGCCAGCTTCTCTCTCACCCCTCACTCTCCAGCTCGGGCAGGGAGGGGCTGGTCCTCCCTCCCACACTCCTTTCGTTGTAGCCCTTCCCTCCCTTTCTCCAAAAGGCACAGCCAGCGCCCCCGCTCCTCTCCCAGGGGATTAAATGCCTTGGCGTCGACATCCACAGCCATAAACGTCCCATGTCACATCCTGCCTCCCAGGATAAGCCTTGTTTGTCCCATCTACCTCCTGTAATTCCCCGCGCCTGGCACGCACAGAAGACAGCTTTAAATGTAAGCCACGCAGGGAAGCGGCTGTCATGCTAAAGAACACCACTCGCTTTAATTGCCAGTTTGCAGCAGCAGTGGAGCCGCGTGCACAGGACCTGCCCCGACGGCCGCGGGTGCACAGCCGAGCCTAGCGCAGTGGCTGCTTCCCAGGTACTCAGGTTTTCGCTTTTGCACACATTTTGCTCCTGTTTTATGGATAACTCATCCCGCCACAGTCAATCTGCCTCCAGTGCTATTGTATTTTTAGTAGCTCATTCACTGACCGGATGAGAGGAAATAAATCTACATTCAGCAGCCACTCTGCGTCTCACCCTGTTGAGGCCCACAGTGGGCTCGCGAGGATGTTGGGAACAGAGAAGCCCACAGGATGGCCACGGGGTCCTCACTGGCAGGTCCTCCAATCCTCCAGGCAGACCAGGGGTTGTGTTTTGATGGCTCTTATCCGTTCAGTCTTACTGCAGTTAATGGCGTAATGGCCCATTTTTCCACACTGAAAGAAAAAGTAAGTAACATTGGTTTTTGTAAATTCAAATCCCCAAAGGAAAATCCTAAATTGTCTAGGGAACCAGAGGAGAAAGTTAGCTGGCTTTCCAAGGAATTTGGTGGCTTCTGCTCCTAAGTGAAGCCCCATTTCAGGCCCAAAGGAGACCTTGAGATTCAGGCCGAGCATCACTGTCCCGGAGTATAGAGCTCTGGACGCTCAAAGGCCGGGAAGTCACGTACGGGGAAGGCGAGGGGCTGCCCTTGCCTCTCATCCTGACAGGACTGTCTGGCAGAATAGAGAAGACAGAACTCAGTTTAGAGGCCATCACATGAAGCCATGATAGAACATGAAGTCCTGATCAACCAGAAGACAGCAGAAAAGGAAAACCAAGGCGCTGCATTCCCTCCCCACCTCTGCCCCCCAAATCTCAAGGACATTATATATAAATAACTCCAGAGAATTAGTAGGCAGCAAAATAAGACCTGGAAGATGTTTAACGTATTAACCTTTTAAAGAAATAAAGTCTTATCTGGCAGGAGATAGTAAGATTGGGTTGTTGAGACATCCCAGTCCTACCGTTTGGTGTACCAGTATTTCCTTAATTCCCACTCCAAACCCAAGGATGGTTTTCTTATCTGTGGCAGGAAAGGAGTCACACATACATTCTGCACCTAATCACCCCCGCCCTCCAGCCCGCGACAGAAAACAGCCCCAGCCCCAGTCCCACTTACCCTGTGGCACTCGCCCAGCTCCAGCGCCCTGAGCCCCAGGCAGTAGGAGACCAGCTGCTCCTGGGGCGACATCATCAGAGGGGGGAGAAGCAGGCACTCCATCGGGAAAGGGGACCTCCGAGGTCGCCAGGTTGAAGCAGGGGGTGCTGAGCCCCGTGGCTGGTTGAGCTGCAGATACAGGGAAGGCGTGAGGAAGCAAAGAGCTACCACGCACCCCTCCGTGCAGGCGCAGGCGCAGGCCAGGCGGGCAGAAGCCAGGCATTGAGGTGCCTTTATGGCCCATCCTAATGGCCAAAAGCATAACTGATGAAAGTGAGAAATGGGCTTATGAATTCCCCAGTCGTGGAAGATTGCTTCCACCTTCCAACGGAGATGCCCCTCAGAACCGGCAGGGGGCGGCTCCCCCAGAGCCCTGGACATCCCAGCCTGGCCCAGCCCTCCTGCTGGCTGGACAGAGGACCGCTAATGAACAGGAGCTCAGCAGCCATCATTCTGGGGTCCCAGGTGGTACAAAAGCAGGCAGGAGGCAGACATGGCCCGCAGGCTGCGGTTTACTGACCCTGCTGGAGTTTGTCACACGTGCCTGGTGTCTGCAGGAAGAGATCTGTTCCAACAGGGACCCCAGGCAAACAGGATGGCCCCTATCCACAGTGACAGCTTTGGACCACAAGCTGCAAGCTGGGCCCTGTCCTTTAGCAAAACCACGCCTGTGTGATGAGCTAAGGAAAAGGGGAAGCCAGGGGCTGAGAGCGGAGAAGTCCTACCTGAAGCAGAGGTTACAGAGCTTGGAGGGGGCCTGGGAGGAACAGCCACACGTAAGTGCCACACACGCGACGGGTGTGCCTTTCCCAGGACTGGGACAGGGAGCTGACACTGTGAGTGTGAGGGCAGCTGGGGACAGTGCAGTGCTCGGGACCCCCGAGTTCCGCAGGGAACATGCAGTAAATGGCAGGAGACGTCAGCCGCCTGCCTGCACTCACCTCCGCGGAAGTCGGGCTGGGTCCAGGGTTCACCTTGGGACTGAGGAAGCAGAGAGGCCATTACAGCCGGGCTCTGTGACCCGCCATCTGCTCCCTAACGGCGGCAGATTCCATGTGTCAGACCCACGAAGGGGCCCGCATGCTCTCTGGGGACAGACGGGACGCTGCAGGGGATTTAGGTGTTAAGTGCTTCTCCTCTTATTTCTAGAACAGTTGGTGAAGAGCCACATGCCCACCCCTGGCATGAACATGCATGAACAGCAGGGGGCAGAGCTCTGTCCTGGGGAGCTCGTGGGGTGGGGGGATGTCGGGGAGCCATGCGCAGGAAACACTGGGCGGTGCTGCCAGAGCTCGGTTCCCGCCTGGGTCAGGGCAGCTACGGAAGGATCTCGATCGGGAAGCCGGAGACTGGGCCCAGCACTCTGCGGGATCGATCCTACTTACTGTGCGTATTGGCACTTGGGTCCCTTGGGGCAGAAGCCAGCTAAGTAGTTAACACACATGACCCTCTGGACGTGGCGGTATTTACACAGGGGGCCTGCCAGGCAAAGAGAAACTGTGTTAGCAAAGGGGGGGAAACAGGACAAAGCTTGCTGGGGAGGACACAGGCTCTCCATGTAACCGGTGGTATAAGCCTCCCTGTCCTGTCCATAGTGTCCTGAAGCACCTACTCCCCAGCTATGTGACAGACGGGAAAAGGAACCTTGGAATGTGTAGAGTGGCCAGTGTCCCCCACACGCCGTACCTTGAAGGACTGTAATTTGTCATAGAAGGTACAGCTGAGGCAAGGCTAGCCCCACATCTCACTAATCCTTGCTCACAACCCTCCTCTGTAACCTCCCCCCCAAAGCAACCCTGCCAAGGTCTCAGTAAGAACAACACACCTGGAGGCATGGGGAGAGAAGGGACACGGATGCTCAGAGCAGGGACTCTGATGTGGTCCCTGTCTCCTGAGTGGCTGACCGTAGTGGGGTAGGTGGAGCATGCTTAAGTGACACTCAGGATACCCCAGGTGGGTGAACTCATGAACCCTATGGGCAAGACCCTATGCGGAGTGCTCCCCTTGGGGTCCTTCATCCCAGTGGTCCAGCAACCCTAGGAGGGAAGCATCTCCCCTTTTCATAAGTGAGGAGACAAAAGGCTCAGCCATTTGTTCAAGGTCACACAGCGGACACATCCTGAAGCCACTGGGATTTGAACCCAGATAAGCCTGCTCAGGCCCATCACGCCCACACCAGCCTACAGGTCATCACATCACAGAGGATTCTCCCACGGAGGGCGTGAGACTATGGAAAGGACTTCTGTTGGGATTTCAACCCAGGGGTGGACCTCACCCCAACGGGGCCTCATCAGCAACATGCAACCTCCCCGCAGGGAGACGGCCCATCTGGTCACCCACATCCCCTTCGCTTCCTGTCAGGGCCTTACCGTCTTTGCAGAAGCCTTGGTCATACCAAGGACAGTCCTGGGTCTTGAAAGCTGTCTTCGTGTGGAGGAAGTGACACTCCCTGTTGCTGCACTCACCTGAAAATACCAGCAACGTTCTTTGTAGATGAGCAGGCTCATGGTCAGTTACCTCTGCCCTCCCCACGCTGAACTGACCTTGCCCCTCAGATATAAGCCACTTGCCTTCCTTCAAAAGTCAGCAGCTTTTGAAGACAACACAGTATTTCTAATCCTTCCTGCAGTCTAAGAAGGGTCACCCCAATTGTATTCACTAAGCAGGGCTTGGGGTGAATACACACATTGGAGGAGTTGGATGGGGGAGGGCTGGATGTCCAGGAGGGGGGCTGGAACTGAAGACATGTAGACACCATCAGAGAGGAAGGAACCAGGAGAGACAGGGAAGGGGGGACCCCGAGCTGGTAGCTAAAGACCCAAGAAGACATAAAACACTGAACGGAGACATAGCCACCCGCTGTGACTAACACTTCCGATCCTCTCTGCAATAAGAGCGACACTCCTCCAGAGTCTGGGGGTGCAACTCTTTCCGGTGAAGTTGCCGAGAAGAGCAGAGACCTGCCTCCGAGTTGGTCCCGGGATGAAGAGAGATGCTGCAGAGAGCACCTGTGGTTGCTGTAGTGTCGATGGAAGAGACCAAGACCCATGGCTCCCAGGAGGAGCCAGCGCTATTTGCACAGACTACTCAGAGTTACTGTGACAACCTTCTTAGATGTCTCTTAGGGACCCAGGGGCTCTGAAGGCATCTTGGGGGGAGATTCGGTCCATTTCCCACCTCATTTAAGTCAAGAATTGGTGTTTCCAAACTCATCCTCCTCAGAAGTCTGTGCCTTTGGCTCTGTGCCTTTCAGAGCCATAAAGAACATAGTTATCTATGCCATTGGTTTTCAGACTACACACTAGGCTTCTGCAGAGCAGGGTTCCCCCGAAGAGAACCCCACTGATCCCTAAGTTCTGAACCACTGCTCATTCCCAGCCTTCTCATTTCACAAACGAAGACGCCAGTGATCAGACGAGGAGACGTCATGTCCATTTTCACGGGGCTTCCTCACGTTGATAAGGTGGTTAGCTGTCTCGTCGCCAGTGTGCAGCTGACTCTGGGCTTGAGCCTTCTAAGGAATCGAAGTGACCCTCCCCACTCCCACCCTCAGGGGCTGGTGAACACAACAGCTGGAGACTATGAGAAGTCACCCTGTGCGCTGGTGGCCTTTCTGCCCCAGATGCGCGGCTCTGCATTCCTCTCCTGGCCAGCAGGTGGCGCCAGCGCCTCACCCTCCAGAGACACCCCGTGTACCTTTTTGAGGGGCACAGCCAGGTAGGTGCAGGGTCAAAGATCATGGGCTTCCTCACCCCTTTCCACTGCCCCTCCCCACTCCTATGCTCCCCAACAATATTTTAAAAAATAAAACAATTTACTTCCAATAAGAATGATCATTACTTTGGCATGAGATTAGAAAGAAATATTCGTTCATTTACTCTAAAGAGCAAAAACATACATTACGTATTGCAATCATTGATTCACATGCCTGCCCTTCACAGTGGGAGTTATTTGAGGGCAGAAGGGGACCTGGTCCTATCCCTGTACCCGTGTCCAGCACAGCATCCCCAAAAGAAAACCAACCCAGGGTTATCGGAGTAAATAAGTGGCATTTCAAAATGAAAGACGTTTAGGCGATGACTAAGGGGAGCCAGGCTCCAGGTAAACTTTGCCCTGTCCTTGAAGGAACCCGGGAGCAGGCAGGAAACAGATTTTGACCTGGGAGGAGCTCTTGCCAGGGCCCCTCCCTCCCCACTCATGAGGAGCACCTGCCCCCAGTGCTGGCTCAGTTTCAAAGCCATGCCATGGCCCTCAGGGGCATCCCTGGAGACTGTCCCAGCTCCTCCCCCTCCAGGTCACTCTTTTTGGAACCCAGTTTCAAAACCACTGGACTAGGTAATCCTTAAGGCTCCTTCCAGTTCTGAAGAGCACCGAGCTGTAGAATTCTCCGGAGAATGAGACAGAAACGCATTCAGAGAGTCCACGCTTACATGAGGCAGGAAGCGACTGTGGCTCCCTGGGGGCCAGAGCTCCCCTTGGATGACCAAAGAAGGACCTGAGGCCAGTGGGAGGTGAGACACTGGCCCAGACCTGACCACACAAGATAATTTTGGGGGCTATACTTCTGATCCCCATGCTTATTTGTTTACGGTTACCTTTTATTGCCCATAAGCGAGGCTGGCTTTCCAGCGATGAAAGCTACATAAAGTTTTCTATTAAAATGAGTTTAAAATAGCGACAGTTGAAAGCTTAGATGTTGGTGCAGGTCAACGGACGTGACAGGTGCTTTGCGAGAATGGCAGGCATGGGGAAAGCGGCCCCCACGTGCCTGCTATTTGGGAACCGCTGGCCTGGACCCCCCCCCCCACACACACACACAAACCAGGGACAGAGAGATGGCCCATTTGAGGCTACTTCCCGACAGTCAGTCTGGGTGTGTGACGCAGCTGGGACTGTGGAGGAAAACAATTCAGCCTTTGATCCAACCGCACCCTCTCCTTCCCTTAGGTAAGCGGTGTGTGCCTCAGCCTGGGGGCAGAGAAACAGGAACCGGAGCCCAGTCCCACTTTCCCTAGGGAGTCGGAGGGCCCGGTGTCTGGGGCTCAGACAGGCCTGGCCTGCCACCTGAGACGTGGAAGGCCTCCTTTGGGGGTCCCCCCAGACATCTGGTCCCACAGCCGCCTCCGGGGGAAGGGTGGGAGCCAGGAGCGCGCATTACCGAACTTGGAGTAGAAGTAGCACTCGGGCATCCGGGTGAGGTCGTACTGGTGCAGGAACTTGCACTGGTCGCCCTTCTTGCACAGCCCGCGTAGCCAATGCTTACACACCACCGTCTTCTCCCCGTGGTCGTGGCGGAATGGACACAGCTTCCCTGGGGGCCAGAGTGCCCAACTGGGACCTGCCCACCCACAGCCTGGGCCCCCCCACCCCTGGGCTCAGACCCTAGCTCCCTTCCCCTGGACCCTGGTGGCAGCTAGAACTGGGGGCCAGAGGCAACACGGAGGACCTGCTGTCTTCTGAACAGATGGCTGTTGGCATAGCCACAACTTTGCCCGAATTCTCTGCCTGGCGTGGTGCCAGTCAAACCCTAGGCAGCCCCCAGGCTGTCAGGACACTCGTCCCCACCCACCCCCGGCTGTGG